GCCTCACTTCCTCCTGCTCACACACCTGTATGCTTTTCTGACACCCAGTGTGACTACACAATGCAACTGGACAAGCAGAGTTATGCTCAGTCATTTAAAAACCATACCATTCATAATTCTAACACTGCTGGGGTTTTCCCCATGCAGTTTTTTTTTTCCAACATGCAGTTAGTTGGACTGTGCGCTTCTCTCCATACTTCAGCTAAGACAGCCCTTTCTTACTAACAAATTACAGATGACCATTTTAAATACATAAAAATAAGGCTGTGTGTGTCTTATCTGGACAAATCCAAATTTTGTAAGTTGAATCAGCCATTCCATTTGGTATTAAATAAAAATGCAGTCATTTTCCTGCAGTAACTTACTGCCATTCAACTGCATTTTGCCAAGGCACAGTACACAAACAAACTCCTGCAATGGCAGGTCAGTCTACCACATGAAAATTTTAACCTTCTAATGACACAGTGGGACATGTTTTGCTCCTTCTGTGTGTCAAGTGACATAAGGCAGCAAAAGAAGCAAAACAAGGACATTCAGATATCCCAAATTCTTCATTAGTCACAATGAATACTGGTCCCCTACACAAATGAGAGACACAATGTTGTAAACTATAACATAGGAATAGAATTTTATTCTGTTAGTCTGCGTATGTATTGGTACAGCTGTTCTGAGAAAGCTTCTGAAGAAAATTTTTCCATAACTCTCACTCTCCCAGCTGCTCCCATTATGTCCTTTAAGAGGGGATTTCTCACAATTTTTTCCATGGCATCAGCGAATTGCATTGGCAGAGGATCACACAAAAATCCTGTAACATTATGTGAGATTGATTCTAAAGGACCACCTGAATTAACTGCTATAACTGGACATCTCATATACATTGCCTCCAAAGGGACAATGCCAAAATGTTCATTGCTTGGTGTATAAAGCACACACACAGAGTTACTAAGAAGAGAGATTTTCTGTTCATCTGAGAATGATCTCAGAAAAGTCACATGGTCATTAACATCAAGTTTGGCCGCGAGTCTCCTCAGCTCTTCATAGTGCTCCACGTTTTCCAGAACTCGCTTATCATAACCACCTGCCATAACCAGGTGAACTTCATCCCACTCATGGGAATCAAGTCTCCCTTGAAGTTCGTGCAAAGCTTCGAGAGCCAACGCCAGATTCTTTTTTCTCTCATACCTATTAATGGAAAGAAACAAGAACTTCTTCTTTTTTGGTATCAGATCAGCTATGTCTGCAGGAACAATTTCTTCAAAGCTCCTGATGTTGAGCGATGGGTAGAGGACATCTGGTTTTATGTGTGACAGGGACTTAAATGTGTCTTTGAACACCTTGGCAGTGAACTTGCTGTTCACAACGATGCAGTCTGCCATGCCAGTGGTGTACTCCTCCAGCCAGTCGAGCGGCAGTCGGTAGAGGCGCTTCAGGAAGGATTCCCTCTTGGTCAGGAGCTGATCGGGAAAGTGGCAGTAAAACAAAACCTTCTTACGGGTTCTGGCCAGTCTAAGCACAGGAATGCAGGCAGACACCTAGTGCAACCAGAGAGATGGGACAAGAGGAGAGGTTAATTGTTTGTGTCAGTGCCACCAGTGTGCACATGTGATTTCAAAGCCATGCTGAGAGCCGCTGCTTTGCAAGCCAAGTGCCTTCTCCCTCTCCCCCACACAAGCACATCAAGTTGTACTCCCTCATCCACGACCTCCTGTGGCCCTATAATTTCTCCCAGCTCCCCATCAAGCCCCAGGACTTCTCCAAGCACCTGCTTCTGCCACTACCAGGGGTGCTGGGAGCTGAGTCAAGCAGCCGTGGCATCCTCTCCCTCCAGCTGCCCCAGAATGTAAGACTTAAATTGCAAAATGTGGAATGGGTCAAGATTATCTAAAGTCAGGACATTCTTTGATGTAAGATCTTTGTACACTTTCAAGCCTAATCAGCAAGAAAGGAGACCTCATCAGTGAACTGTCAGCAGCTAGCATCCCTTAGTCAACAACTTCCTGGAACTAACAAGTCTTAAAGATGTAGTAAATCAAGACGTTGATTTCTGTCTATGTATACATTGCTAACTTTGCAAAATACTCAAGGTCCATGTATCCTATAGCTAAACTATGTTCATTATAACACTAAAAACCACACCTACAGGTCAGAAAAACCCTTGCTCAGGTGAAGACCATTTCTCCAAGCAAATGTAGAAGTTAACTGGGGACATGTAACTTGCATAGAATCACAGAATCAATTGGGTTGGAAAAGAGATCGCTGAGTCCCACTGATGACCCAACAACACTGTGTCAACTAGACCATGACATAAAGGGCCACATCCAGTCTTTCCTTAAATATATCAAAGGCCAGTGACTCCATCACCTCCTTGGGCAGTCCATTTCAATGTATAATCACCCTCTCTGAAGAAATTGTTCCTTATGTCCAAGCTAAGTCTCCCCTGGTGCAGCTTAAGACTATGTTCTTTCATCCTGTCACTAGCTCTCAAGAAGACCAATCCCCCCCTGCCAGAACATCTTTTCAGGCAGTTATAGAGGGCGATAAGGTCCCACTGAACCTCCTTTTCTCCCAGCTAAACATCCCAGCTCCCTCAGCCACCTGTCATAAGACTTGAGCTCCAGACCCACCTCCACTGCCCTTCTCTGTAGACTATTAACCAATCATAGTATTATGAGGGGCTGCACTTTGAATGTTACTAACTCTGAATTTCTGTGTATAAAAGATGGCACAGAAAGCCTGATGGGGTGTTCTTAATTTGTGGAACATGGTGGAACAGCCAGGCTTGCACAGCTCTGAAATGAACAATTGATGTCTCTCCCTTGAGTGTGCCATTATTGGCTTGTTGCACACCAGATAATGAATCCAATTTTGTCGGGATTTGATACTCCAGGGTTCTGGAGCATGTCTCTTATGAGAAACTGCAGGAACCAGGCTAGTTTAGTCTAAAGAAGACTGGGAGATGATTAATTCATATAAATATCCTAAGGGTGGACCTCATCTCAAGAGGATGCTGCCAGTGATGCCCACTGACAGGATGAGGAGCAGTGGCTCCTCATTAAACTAAGACACAAGAAATTCTACATCCACATGAAGAACTTCTTTACTTTGAGGGTAGCAAAGCATTGGAAAAGGACGCCCAAGGAAGTCCTGGGGCCTCCCTCTCTGGAGACATTCCAAACCTGCTGTAGGAGACCTTGCTTTGGCAGGGGATTTGGACTAGATGATCACTAGACGCCCCTTCCAACCCTAACAATTCGGTGATTTTGCGAAGAGCAGCCCCGACTGGGGCATCCCTGCCTCCAGTCGGGCCAGCGGCAGCGGCGCTC